TGTGTGTGTGTGTGTGTGGGGGGGGGGGGTGCGTGTGCGCTCTTGAGAAGCTGTGGTTCGCAACCACCGCACCCATCCATTCTGAGCCTGGAAATATTACCTTTACACACGAGTTTATTACCATAATTACTGTAAAAACAGAGGAACTCAGATGTTTGGTAGAACATAGATCTTTATTTCATAGCTGATATGAAGAAATGAGTCTCTGCGCCTCAGTGGAGAGTTTTCATGATATCACATGTTGTTGSAGAGTTAGAATCATATGGATGAGACCGTTCCGTTGGGCATGAGTCAGCTTTGGGTGGACTGGACTGGCACAGTCCTAATTGGTCTGTCAGCTCCCTCTGGATAGTCCCTGTGGAACCCCAGTTCAATCGCTGCTGCTGCAGCTGTTCCTCRCTGTGTCGTGCTCCCAGAGCACCGCAGTACCAAACTGAAAAAGGATTTTTCCTCAAAACGGATGAYGAGCCAGTTGTCATCATGGATCAGAAAATTCTGTTTATAAATAAAAGCTCTGCATGTTACACTATTTATTATATCCTCCAGTAAGGCTGAATCCATTCCTGGTAAATGTATTTTCGGCACAACTTTGTACRTCCGTTATCTAACTGCGTCCATGTGAATGTAATAATTGTTAATCCTGTGTGTCTTGTGTGAACAATAATCATTTTCACATCATGAACAGTTTCTCAAAATCACCTCGAAGTGTCACCAATGGAACCAGAACCACAGAAACGTGCGTACGCCAACCCTGGAGTTGGCGTGGGGCTGCACACATTTCCACGTTCATTTCAGTTTTGATACATCTTGAGATTTGCGTGGAAAATGGCGTACGCAAGGTTTTTGTCCATTGATACATCAGGCCCCTGGTGAAGATGCAGCTTGAAGCTTGTAAGAGTGTCGTTATCCACAGTGAAACAAGTTCAGTATCCACATGGGCTGAAGGCCACTCTGCCAGGAAGAAGACATTACTTCAAAAGAAACATAAAAAAGACAGATTAATGTTTGCAAATACACACAGGGACATACTTTAATTATTGGAGACATGACCAAACTACCCAGATTCGTTGCATTTGGAGGAAAAAGGGGGAAGCTTGCAAGCCTGAGAACACCATCCCAACTGTGGCAGCTTCGTGTGGGGTTGTTTTGCTGCAGGGGAGACTGGTGCACTTCACAAAATAGATGACATCATGAGGAAAGAACATTGGGCCTCATTGCAAGAACATGTTCGTATTCTTATCCTAAATTTCTCTTACCTTTGTTCGTACGAAGGGTTCGTACGAACATGTCACATCAGATTCAACAAACNAAGTCATTAGACAGGAAGTTAAAGCTTGGGCACTGGGTCCTATAAAGGGACAATGAGCCAAGCATACTGCCAAACTGGTTCTAGAGTGGCCCTCACAAAGCCCCGATTGCAATCAAAATTTATGGGCCAAATATTGTGAGAAGCTTGTGGAAGTATATCCAAAATGTTTGACCCAAGTCATACAGTTTAAAGTCAATGGTATCAAATACTAATGAAATGTATTGAAACTTTTGACTTTAAAGAAAGTAATAAAAATTACCATAAGATTCTCCTTCTCATTATTCTGGCATTTAGCAAATAGAAAAATGTTGGTAATCCTAATTGACCTAAAACAGGAAAAGTTTATTCTGATTTCACATCAGTGTGAAAAAAATGCAATATAAACTCCTGGTTTCAACTGTATGTTTACATCCAGTCTGCAGTTTAACAGAGTCCAGGTCGTCAGTTCCTCCTGCACTGTGAGCATGTTTGAGTCCATTTAGAAACTAATGCCTGAATGCTGACACAACGCTGATTCTACATTAGCTAATGAATTGGACTGGCTGCTCTGGCTGTGTGTGCGTGTWTTTAATTAAAATTAAGTGAATCTTTTGGTTCGCTGACACTCTGTCCACAACTTGACTGTTTTCTTCAGTAAAACTGTTTTTAACTCCACCTAAATCAAACGTTTAGTTTAATTTTGAAGGTATTCCACTCATCCTGGTATTTCTACCTGTTCAGGGTGGAGGGGGTCTGGTGCTGGTCTGCAGCAGTCAGTGGAGAAGAGGTGGGGTGCATCCTGGACACGTCACCGTACCACCACAGATTGTGAAGGTAGGCTGCTTTTGGTGGTGTTGATCTGATTTGCTTTAATGACTAATTACCAAACAGACATCACCTGGACAAGCTTCAGATTCAGAATCCTGTTAAAACATGTGATACAACGATGTAACGTAGATACAAAACATGATTGAAACAAGGACCAAATTCTTAAGTATCTTCTTGTCAGGTATACAAGAGGTAGCTGCAGCTGTTTGTGATGAGCCGTGATGCTAAAGCAGTAGGAGGGAAAATTTAAGCTACTGTAACTTACAACACTGCAGGTAAACTGCAGATTGCATGTTTAAAGGATGGATTGAACTACGGTTTTATGTCATCTGCTGTATCTTAAAATGTGCAACAACAAAACATTTTTATTGAAAACAATAGTAATGTTGGTTAGCTAATGGTTTAATTATGCTAAAAGCAGCGCTTTTGCTTTGCAATGTTTCACAATAATTTGGTTAAAAAATTTTGCCTTTATTTGGACACCGTGGTTTCTGTCTTATAAAATAAATTTGGTGACATTTCTACATGTGAAGTTGTTGATTGTCCGTGATTTACACAGATTTTCTCTCATTTTGCAGGTATACAGTCTTATGGAGCAATCGCACAGCTCTCTTCAAGTTTTACAGATTTTTTAGGAAAACTCTATTAAATTTTTTTTTTAACATTTCAGAACCTGTAGGATGTTGAAAAACAATGAACAACATCAAATATCTATTTTCCAACCTGGATTAATTTGGATTAATTTGTGAAAATGACAGATTTTTGTGGCTCATCAGGGCTCTAGGGTGTGACCAATTTGGTCGCAAATGCGACCTGATTTCCTAATAGTGCGACTAAAAAATAATCGTTCGAGTGGGAGGGGGAGCTGTCGCCCGCTGAAACACAAAGTTTCCATCATGTTCCATAAAAAAATGAATCCAGCAGTTTCAACCATAGTAGTTGCTCTCTGACACAACAGTCTCCATGTCTCCTAATAACACTGCGCTCGCTTTTCTCACGGGCTCTGCTCCACACCTCGCGCACACACACACTCACACGTTTGTTATTTTATCTTCATGGGGACTTTGCATTGGCTTCCATTCATTTCCCTGTCAATACTAAAGCCAACCATAACCTCCCAGGTAGGCTACACACCTGACCCAAACCCTAACCTCACCAGGCTGTGTGTACCAGGTCCAGGGAAATGGTCAATAATTGTACCCATCATGAAACAAAAACCTGGACACACACACACATGCGTGCGCGTACACGCATAGCGAAACAACCATATTTTTTATTTTGTTTTATTTTTACCCAGATCGGAGTTTGAAAAACATTTTTTTCTTGTTAAACGTGGAGATGTGGACGGTTGCTCGCTCTTAAGTCCATCTTGCCAAACAGTCGAGTTCTGCTCTGTGAGCGCTGCAGATCTTTTCAGCAGCATGAGGAACCTGACGTGTATGGCAGGCCGCTGTTACACTCAATCGGTTTCACAACAATTATATTCCAAGAATCTGAAATTGGTTCTTCTGGGTCTCAGGAGGATAAAACTAGACATATTAGATATTTAAGTGAAATAATATAAGATAATATGCTAATGAAATTGCAGTTTTATGCATTATTATTTTTTAAAAATCTGCACAACCGTTTGATAAATATCAGTAATATTTCCGTTATTAATCAATATTTTCTGTTCATCATTCTGGTTTAGCCAAGGCCAAAGATCCACAGGGCCAAACTACAGGAGTTGTCCATCTGAGGGGCATGTATCTTAAAAAAATGTAACCATGAAATGTTTAAGATGTTTATAAGATGTTCAGCCCTTAAACATTTGCATTTAGAATTTTATAAAATCACTTCAAATACTTTTCATTAAGTTAAATGCCTACAATTCTGGTTCAAATAACAAACTTCATGCTTACTGATTGTTAACTAATTATTTTCGAGTTAATGTTGCCGTAATGAACAGTGATTTAAAAAAATAACCTGTAAAACTCTGATGTTAAATGCGACGTGGTTGAAAATTTGGGCGCACCTAACTTTTGTGCTGGTGCGCCTAAGAAAAAATGTTAGGCGCACCGGTGCAGCCAGTGCAAAAAGTTAGTCTAGAGCCCTACTCATTATACAGGTAAACATCCAAAGGGCATGCACGCATTTCCAGAAAATAATCCATGAACAGTGCTTAAAACAAATATTCCCCTCCTTGGATGTTTTATGCTTTTATTGTTGTCATAAATCAATCATGATCCAAATAAACYGACTTTTTGCTAATGTAAAACAATTAAGTGCATAAATATTTAGCCTCTTTAAAATAACTGTCCCAATTAAACTCAGAGAAAAATTCTTGAAAAGTCGAGAGCCTAAACATGACCTCTGTTAAATCCATCATCAGGAAACAGAAGGAATATGAGAACTTGTGTAAATCAAGACGTCACATGAGTGACAAGAAGGAGAATAGAGAGAGAGAGACCACCAAGAGACCTGAGACCACTCTGAAAGAGTTCCGCACTTCAGCAGGTCAGATGTTAGACTGTAAATAACTGTTAGCAGCTTCTTCACCAGTCTGAGCTTCATGTGAGAGTGACACAGAAACACAGGGCTCTAGAGTGCGACCAATTTGGTCGCAAATGCGACTTGATTTCCTAATAGTGCGACTAAAAAAAATGTCCGGTCGCACTGGTGCGACCAATCGTTCGAGGGGGAGGGGGAGCGGTCGCCCACTGAAAAAAGTTTCCATGTTCCATAAAAATAATACAGCGGTATCAATGGTTGCCCACCGACAGTCTCATCTCTCCTAATAACCCAGGGTTTGACAAATCCTATTGCCCGAGTGCCCGGGGCAGCCTTATGTAAAACTGTAGCCGGTAACTCGTGGCAACAGACAGTTTTTTCCACCCAAGGGGAGGGTGCGCATGCACGCCAGAGAGAGAGTCTCGTCTCCAGGCGTCCGATTTGTGTTGGTGAAGTGCTGCTGCCCTCTATCGTGTGAGAGAGGCGCAACATTATCTGACAGTYGCCCACAGTTTTTTGATTTTTTTTTGTGTGTAAAGTGCATCCTTTATTGACACATTTGAAACATTTACTCAAACATTTGGAACAGTTGTGCTTTGAACATTTAGCACACCCAAACTGGGGGCTTTTAGTGCAAACATTGTGTGAGTGGGGTGGGACCGGTGCTTGGGAGACAGTGTGAGGGAAATGCAGTGCCTCTTGGGGCTGGCTCCCTGAACAAAACAAACAAGATGCCTCTTGGGCGGCAGCCGATGACAGGCGATCATGTCTCCCTGGTCCTGAAGTGACAGTCCCATAGCTAGGAGGACTGTGTCTTCTTCCTCCGAGGTATCGAGACCTTCTGAAGACTCGGAGGGGGGCCCTTGCTCCAAGCTGAATGGCGGCGGGGTTGGCCGTGGTTCTGAGGCTGCGCTGACTGGGTGCTCAGGCTCCCGGGCAGCACCGCTCTTTTAGCAGGAGGCGGCTGTGCAGCCGGTTTCTGTGTGCTGGTCTTCGGTCTCGCATCACGTCTGGGGATAATGCAGCGCAGGGCTTCAGACTGCTTCTTCCTCAGCTCGAACTTCGCCTGAATGATGTCGAGAGACTGACCAAATAAACCAGTAGCCGTCGCTGGTTCATCAGGTACGCAGCTTGGTCTCTGTCGGGGACATCAGAGAGYGTCAATCATAGATGCCTCTGCGCCACCACAGTTGAAGCCATCCCTCTGCCCAGGGAGAGCGCTGCACCGCGGGACRCACGGAGGATATAATCCGCTGGGTTTCTGACCTCATTCAAGAGAGGTAACAGAGGACTCTCGGGTGGTACCTCAGCTCCGAGCTCCGCCAGAGACATAGCCTGGTATGTCTAGAGCATGCTAATGGAGCTCAGAGAACGAGCAGTGGTGGTCTGAGCCTTGTAAATTTTTTCAWGCTGAGTATCAGAAAATCTTACACGGCTTGGAAGGGAGTGTGGTGGGCCCGCTCACTGGTTGTGAGACGGGGCCAAATATGCTGCCAGGGACGGCTCCATCGGAGGGATGTTCACCAGCCCAGCTTTTTCAGCTCTTTCCAGATCCAAATACTGTCCATAACGGGAACTGTGACGCGGGTGGACAGAGGTTTGCTCCAGGAGGACATCACCTCCGGGAACATGAGAAGACTGTTCTTCACCACGGTCGGCTCAGTGGGGAGAAAAAAACCCACGAACCGTGAYGGTTTTTGTGCAGGAGGGGGAGCGGGCCACTCCACCTCCAGTTTCTGAGCCGCACGACGACGAGGAGAGAAAAGAYGTGTCGTCCTGGTTCACCTCCGCAGCAGCGGGTCATCTTGACCCGAGCCGGGTTCCTCATTATCTTCCGACAGATGAACATCCAGGCCAAAATGCAGCACGTCATCGTCTCCCTGGCGGAGGCCCAGCTGAAACCGGGTAGCTTCCTCTTCTTCTTCGGCTTACCCCTCCATGTACTCTACGTGGTCCACCCAGCTGGAAGCGGGGACTTCGACCAACAAATCCTTCTCGTCGGACTCTGACAGAACCGGGTTACTGTACTCGGAGAGGAGTGGGTCCTGCCGTGCGACTGCAGCTTCGCCCAGCACTTTTTCTAAAAACTTAACCCGTCTCTCCAGGGTTGAGCAACGAAGCTGGCAGCAAAACGCACACGCTTCGGGCTCTGCCAACGCTCTCAGAGTGTGAACGATCCCCAGACAGGCCGGGCAAGCTTCGTGCTGGTCCTTCTCATGGAGCGAGAAGCTGTACCCCTGAGGACAGGGGTGAAGATTATTTCTTCTTTTAAGGTAATTTTGTGCTCATCTGAACCACAAAATGTTTTATTTTGTTGAAATAAAAAGGCTACTCAAAAACTAGCGCTCCGCGGGCAGACACAGTTGCCAGTGGGCATTAGTGGCTAACACCAACAAAAGCAGTTAAACTAATTTTAAGAGCCTTCGAACAAGCAAAGCTAATTAGCTTTATTCGAAGAGGTGTTCCTAGCGAGGTGAAGAGCGTAAGAACTGAGGAATGACTGTGATGGCGGGCAG